AGAATTTATGTATTTTGTCGTTTTATAATATAACACTGTGATATATCAACATAAATGAACAACTTCTAATGTAAGATATCTAAACTTCTGATAGTAATAAAACCATTGCAATGCATGCAAACTGTCTAACTTCTCCATTGTGTTCGACTTTATATTCAAACTCGTAAAGTACTGAAATAGAGGATTTTGTGGACTAGTGTCGTCTCCATAGTTTTGCATAATATTATTCTAATGTAATCAACTTTAACAAGTCACCTCACTAAAAATGTAATTTGAAGTCAATATTAATGAGTTAACCTCAAAATGTGACATACTTATCAGGCGAAAATATTCAGACACTTTTTAATTATTCAAATTTTTTTAACAAGATGAGAATAAAGTAACACCCTATCTCGTTACAAATAAATATTTTCTGTGACCTCTATAAAAATGGTATGAATATAAATTATTAAAGTGGGTGGTATGGTGTGGGTTTCCTCTGCACAAAGACAATTCACTAAATGCGAGTTACGTAACACGTAACAATTTCCTCTTCTTAAGATGACTTATTTCCATTTCGTTAAAAGTATATTTAACTTTAAAACGATTGTGTTTTATTTTTCAATCACATTTAAAAATTAACCAAAAATGAAAGACATTAAAAACTTTTTAATGCCATTAACTTTGAAATACACTTTTCAAAATTAACTATTGGTTTATTGGGTTGCACCCTTAAAGTATTACACTGAACGGTTACAAGATATAAAATTTTATATTGGAATTTGTAATTTAAGGTTAACAAAGGGACCTGCTGAAAACCAGCACAATGAAGTCCGAGGGCGTCTGTATATCAGCTGAGCTGACCATCTTTTGTCACGTTCCTAATTTTTTTGTATTACTACTAATTCATAAGTTAATTGATTCTTTTTTGTGTGGCGATAAACTTCTAGTCTATGCATAGATAGGCATTTAACTTAAGTGCTCAACATCCAACTCAAATTACCAAACAACTCTACATAGACAATTGCCTTGCCAATGCAATAATCCGGACTCGAAGCCGACAACTTTCGCAATGACACACCTATGATCCAACTGATATGTGCTGCCATCTTGTGATAAGTGCGCTCTAACAATTGCTTGACAGTTAAGTAATGTCTGGCGCAAGCAAAACCCGTTGACGAAACGAATATCTCATATCTTAAACATATATCTCATATTCTATTTAGACATTTATAATGCAACTGCTATTATTTTAAACTGGTTATAAAGTAACTAGACATCGTTTTACAATCTAAAAAATTGTACAATACTAACAAGAACTAAAATATTTTTTACAAAAAAAATTGCCTCGGTATGAAATTGAATTTAATTTCATGGTTTATGTACCACGGTATGTTAAGCCACGGTATAACATTCAATGGTAATAAAACGAAGTATATATGTATTTTATTCAATAAAATATAATTTATATTCCATCTTGATATCAACAGAGCACAATTCCCCGCGGCGCCAGACTACGTACTGATAAAATTACAGCGTGATTTGTTCGCACGGATTCCGATCTCTGCACCTCCCCGATCTTCTCGCTATAATGCCAACTATGCGGTGGGAGTATCACAGGATTTTGCATTCGAAGCAAGGACAAATTACATTATCGAAGCACTCTTGCTTGTATCAATAAAACTAGCTAACGTTTTGACTTGCAACTTGAATGATTTACAAGGACTCTTGTTGTCTCTCTCTCTCTCGTCTTACAATAGACTAATAAATTCATAGAACAAGGGAACAATAAAAAGAGACGTCACTTATAAGAACGACTTGGTCCTTGAATTACTCCAGAACGTTGCATACGTAATGCGATGTGAACCAAGCCACGGGAAGTGCCATTAAAGTTTTTTTTTAATTAATTCAACGTCGCCGGGTGTTATGGATTAATGTAGAAGAATCTTGAGGGATATAACTTTTTTATATTCGTCTTTATTACAGAGGGTCTGTTAGAAAATGTAATTATCTTTACATTTATAACAGTAGTCAGGTTGAGTTTTTATATTAGAGCCAAGCCAGCAAGCTGCCACGTATTATATTTTTGCCAAAATAGCGAAGTGACCGCTTCCTATACACATCCGCAATTGCAGATTCGTTGCCTCCTTTAAACGACGGAGAAGGAGACGCAAAATTAGAATATTTCCGGTTCCAATGCGGTCTCAACATTGTAGCAAACAGCTTTTATGCAATAACAAATTATTACTATTTCTTAACTGCGTGATTTCTTAATAAACTCAAACCGATTGCAAGTAAATCGAGGTAACAACGCATCCCGTGGGAACAATAACAATTTGCAATGCTTGTGCCTAGCAGGACGCGTCAAGCTCAATAATGCATGAAGTCTGTCGTACGTCCGTGCAGCCGACAACCGAACAGACTCTCTAATTATGACAACAAACTGTTCATTCCCACTGCACCATACATAACGAACTTACAAAAATTGAATACCACAATAAATATTTATCTTACTAATATCATAAATGAGGAAGTTTAGATTGTGGATGGACATTTGTTATTACGTGTGTCCAGAACAGCTTGACGAATGAAACTGAAATTTACCAAAGATGTAGAACATAGTCTGGAAGATCTATAGGCTACTAATTAGGTTTTTTTGATACAAATGCTTTGCCTTTATTTGTGGAAAGGGGAAGAAGACTAGAATTGGACTTCGAATAAATATTATCAGTCAATAAATGTTTTAAAATAAACAAAAAGAAGGAATCATACTCTGTTGATAGTTAAGATATAGCCAAGGGTGTTCTAGAGATACAAAACAAAGGGAAAGTTCATTTAATATTGTTGATATTTTGATGGAGAGTTAATTGAAGTGATCAGAGAAAGGCAGTATCGATGCAGAAGTGGGCTGCAGGCGTTTGTGGGTGAGCATGTCGAGGTCGTGACGTCATGCGCTTTCTCTGCGCATTGGCCAACCGCGCCGGACGCACTCTACCCTTGATGAATCAATACTTGCATGTATCATTTACTTGGTATCAAGACTAAATACGTCATTGATAGCCACATTTTCTGCTACAAAATCTAGAGTGAGGGAAGACCTGAGCATAACTTATAATAAACGAAAATTTTAGGTGACTTCTTAATTTGACAAGTTTAAGGTGACTGGCAGTATAGTAAAATAATGGATAAATATTTTTTTAAATAAAAAAAAACCTTTACAATTTTCCTACTCAATATCTATTCGTTGAAACATCTTAAAAATCCTTCTGTATACGCTTTGTACTTTGAAATAAAGTAAAATGTTGGAAATAACGTTTATAGTTTGCTATAAAATTCAGACAAAGAACATGCATTGAGGCTCAAATAAACATCAATAGTATAGTTGCATCGTCGAAATAGCAACGCTAGACAGGTCAATATTGCTTTTTTATATCATAAGGTGGCCAACGAGCGAGCGGCCATCTGAAATCGCTGAAATAGCGAAGCGACCGTTGCCCATAGACACACGCAATTGCATATGCGTTGCCTACCGTTAATCGACGGAGGAGAGGATGCACAGAAGGAAAATATTTTCCATTTTCCATGCATCCTCTCATCCGGAAAGTCCAATTCCACTTCCCATCCTTTCTTTATAAGAAAAAGGGTGGGAAGTGAAAGTGGACTAAGTTAGGCCTCCGGGACGCACACTCATTAGACGAAACGCGGAATTGCTTCCACTTCACGCCTGTCTTCTGTGTGGTCGTGGTATTTCACCGGGCAAGCCGGGCCGATTTGTGCGAAGATATTAAAGCGGGCTCTACCACTGTTATATATGCACGTAAAAAGAATTCACAGCTTACAATCTAGGTTATTTACACATGCAACCTTGTTGAGTCGAACATTAGTACATCAGCATAAAAAATCAATAAGACTCTCGTGTTCATTTTTGATAAATGTTTTCGTTGTAATTTCGATTTGTATCAGTCAATATATTAATGTATTGTAATTCACAAGGTTTTTACTTTATTTTATTTACAATTTATAACGTTAATTAATTATATTTACGAATATATATTAAATAAACTTAACGCCCGTGACCCAAATTAGATCGTAAAATCCAGCTACACAACACACACTTTTTATTTTTCTTTGTACACTAAACATCTTTGGTGTTATCATCCTACCTAGAGTAATTAATTAAGCTTAAGTTATGATTAAAAGCTCATATAGAAGTTAAAGAAATTTTTATTTTAGTTGATTAAATTAATTTCAAATTCAATCGTTTAATTACTATGTCATAAGAATGCATTATTCTTACGATTGTATAATAAGATATTTGAACAAAGAACGTAATAAATATTTGAGTAAAGTCCAAGAGCATGCAAGTTCGTGTTTGATATCTAGTATTACCTCAACGTTATTAGATCTCTTTGTTCTTTACTTGAACGTTGAAGCAATTTATTTCGATACTGCTCGCTACGATCTATCGACGAGATAAAAATTGTGTAGGGTCATGGGAACTATATGTTAGGTCACGTTTGTTTAAAACTATCGCAACGTGCCAAGGAAAGGCCATCTTTCTTGATTGTTGATTCAACTTATACCATTACATTTTGAGGATTATCTGCGACATTGTGATGTGTATCGAAAAGAAATAAAACATTTGATTCGCTTTTCTAATACGGCTTTTAATAATCATTAAATAGTTTTTATTGTAAGAAAATTAAAAACAATTTTAAATTCTGTTTATAATTTTGATTGATTTCATTGTATCACGTTTGATACGTTCTATTGTTGTTCACTTTTATCTTAATAGACCGTGAAACTAGGCAATAACTACAGACATACTATCAGTTGCCCTTATCAGAACACTAGAAGGAATCCAATAACTAGGACATAATGATTCACATAGAGAAAAGGAAGTGCGTTATTCACATACTATTCTTGTCTTGACAACGATGATATTTTGTTATACGTTGTTTTTTCCCTTACTCTCTCTCTCTCATTCTTTATTATTGATGTAAATGTAATATTGTCAACAGAAGTGTGGAGCGCGGGCGGCGGGGCCGGCAGCGCAACAGCATGCGGTAGCAGCGGCATGGACCTGAAGCACGAGGTGGCGTACCGCGGCGTCCTGCCCGGCCAGGTGAAGGCCGAGCCCGGTGTCAGCCACAACGGTCACCCGCCCGGCGGCCACCCGCCCAGTGGCCACCCGCCCAACGGCCACCCGGCCAACGGGCACGTGCGAGAGTGGATGGCCGGCGGCGCGGCGGGAGGCGGTTCGCCCTCACCGGGTGGCGCCGCGCAACCCCAGCCCAACAACGGTTACTCCTCCCCACTCTCCTCTGGCAGCTACGGACCCTACAGCCCCAATGGAAAAATAGGTTAGTTACTAGTTATTTTGTTTTGATTACTCACCATAGACTTGTTTTAGTTGTTACCTGGAAATGTAATAACTGGTCTGAAAAAACTTTATTGTATGTGTTACATTTTATAAAGGTTATGGAGTTAAAATGAATATTGCGATTGCAAACATTTCTAGCAACCAATTGACTTTCGTTATAAACACCCACGCGCACTGTAATGATCTCGTCTATTCGCTAAAGAATTGCATAACCATGCCTCTGATTGATGACGACCAATTCGTTACTCGTTCACTTATACAAGATTTAAATTTGAATACATCGTGTTTCATAACTGTTACTGCTAGTACGTACTCACAAAAGAGAACGTAGAGTTTTAATTTCGTCACTTGGGGAATAAGAAACATTAAACAGTCAACTATCATTCAGTAGAAGTACTCGTATACTGACATTTTTCCTTAATCTCTCGTATGTAAAAACTCTCCAAAATAAATAAATGTTTCAATATCATAACCTCCCTATCTCCCAAAACTTTACTTTGACTACTGTTTTACTGATCCACACAAGGCCGGCCTTGTTTCAGATAATGTGGTAAATGATTAACAGCGGGGGTTTAACTCTATTTAAGTATGACTGCACGACACTTACATTGTCATTAGCAAGAAACTACAGTAGACCATTTCCTAATAGCCTTCAGTCATTTGCTGCGACCTCGGGTAACCAGCAGGTGGCAAAGTAGACATGAATTAAAACTGTGTTTCAATAAATAAATGTTTATTTTGTATTTTTAAAGGAAAATGTTATGTTTAGTAAAGTTTTCTATTAGCATTAAGACCGCTAATCTATACTAATACTATAAATAGAAAATATTTGATTATTTGCCTTGAATCTAATGAAGCGATTTGAAAAATTGAAGAACATACACTATTCCCAGGTACAAAGACTATATTTATTACTAGATTTATTGATTAATTGATGCGAGGATGAAGTCCCGGGCAAATACTAGTTTCTTTTTATATTAACCCTTGTTAATATTTTTTGCTTTTTTTTTTTATATATATATTTAAATGTTCAATAAATAAGACACATGCCATCGTAATTTACTAAACTAATGATCCAAAAACAAAGTTTGAAAAAAATGTTCTCATCAAACAATTTTCGTCTCGACCTCAATGACACAGAGTTCTGAGTAAGGACATTGAAAGCGTTATCGTGTTGCTAAACAAAATAAGACTTTAGCAATTTATACTGATTCTACCGCGTGACCCTGTTTTCAACGATACGCAGAAGATGTCAGAGGTCATCTTAAGCTGGTTATTATAATTATCACAGCTAAAGATTTTTCCGTGTTTAATGTTATCACGTCAAATGCGATAGCGGGGGCAACGACCTGATCGTTGCGTGATGTAGATACTGCATACCGCAACTCGTGCGATAAAATTACTTCTGTGTACATTATCAAGGAAGCTGATTTTACTTGATAATGTATTAATCGTTTCAATTTATTACCAAAATCTGAGAAATCAAAATAAATCACGTGATCTGCGAAGAGAGACCGATCTTTGCGACATTCTCAGGAACGTCTGCGTCCATCTCTAGACATCTATAACTTTTTAAAACCAAAAAAAATCGATAACCAATTGACGTATGTACATCGTAGTATTGTAAACTTCGATCAGTATTAGTCAAGTAAGTTAATACTTTTCCATTGCGTCGTATTTGACTTTAAATTAGTTACTAAGTGTAAAGTCAAAGTTCACACACGGGAAAAATAACATTTATAAGACTAATCTGCGAATATATATAAATGAGCACTTAAAATCGATGCAGACAGATGCTACAGAATGGTTTAAGAACCTTTATTCCACTTCTTTCCTGTCTAAATTCCATAACAGATCGACAACGAACAAAATGAAATAACGAGTTTTCGAGTCAAGTGATTACTTTACTTCCTTTTTATTGTGAGGCAAAAGGCGAAAACGCCGCAAAGTTTCCAAGAACCAATTAAGACTAACTTGTCCTACCGAAAAATATTTGCACCCCGCTAAAAGCGTCATGCACCGTCCTATATCCCTCATTATTTTCTCGTTAAGATTTATAAAGGAGTCTGCTGGCTTTATATTGCTATTAAAAAGAACTCAGATAGCATCGACTAAGTGATCTCAACTCTTGACTTTAAAAAACTCATCCTGACTCGCTTGTTAACCAACCTCTATATATTACTCGCCCAAATTAGATTTTAATTCTGTTTTGGTTTCTTGCATCCAATTATCAAAAAAATATTTTTGGATTTTAAAATTTATGTTCAATATTAAATATCAAGTCGTAATTTAATACGAAATTTATGAACCAATAATATTTATTAGCGACCATATTCTGTATTTTTCAGATTTCGTTTTTTTATTTCGGACTTTAGAAAAGATACGAGTAGGTAAAATGTACCACAATCGTCTTAATGCGCTCTGGATTTTTTATTTGTGCAAACGACTCGAATTCGACCGCTAAAGATCGAGTGAAAAAAAACCAACAAGACCCAGTGGCATATCTCACAAGTCGTAAGAGTGTGCGGTCGTGGTATTTAAAGAATCCTTATTTAATTTTAAAAGTGGTAACGACAAAACGCAACAGGGAACGCGGCGTGGTGCGAACTTTGATTACGTTTTTTACCGAAAATAATATTTGAAATATAAGAAAGTATAAAGATGTGAATTTAAATAAAGATTCATATACATTTAGAAACAATTACTAAAGAGTTTTGAAGAAGCATTTTAGTGCAGTTCCTATATTTTACAGTAGAAATCTTGAAAAAAAATTTATGCGACTTTTACAAACAGGTATAAGAACATAATTTTGAAAGGTTGTTTTTTAGATAGTCGTAATCTAACGGTAATATAACACCGGTAACAAACACCTAATCTAAAAGCGGGAATAAGTAGTTACTTAGTTAAGTTAGTTGTGGTTGCCGGTGAAACAGGGGATTTGCAAGGATTCCGACATACGTTAGAATGGCTTCAATATCACATACATCTAACAGCTTACTGTACAGAGCAATAGACTTCGTAGTACATTTAAATATCTAGGCAATTATTTTATTTATAAATAAAATCAACCAAATAATGTTTAGAATCTTAAATATTTGGACTTTCGAAAGTATCAAAAAAGGGAAAATTTCATAGTAGTTTACGTAACACAATTATTAAAAAAAAAAAGCTTTTAAAAACACTACAGTTAAAGCAGTAACTTAAAAACTAAGTCTATATCCTCCTACTAGCGGTCGTCCGCAACTCCGTCTGCGCGGATATAAAAAAAACTTAATTTGTAGCCTACGTGTTCTTCCTGACTATGTTCTACATCTCTGCCAAATTTCAGCGGGATCCGTTCAGCCGTTTTGGATATACCTTCAAACAAACCATCCATCCATCCATCCATCCATCTAAACATTCGCATTTTAGTAAGAAGTAAGATTTATACATTTTCGTACATAGTTGGTAATAACGTCCAATAAAATATGAGTACGCGATTATGTCAGTATATAAACATCGGAAGGAGTAAATACGAAATAGCCGATACAACGGCGATATTGTAATATTGAACGTTTTGAACATAAAACGACGGAGTATTATTTTACAACATCGCTACTAAACCTGCCACCTCCGTTGCCTGCGACATCACAGATGCGCTGTATTGCTTATTTTATACATCCTAAATGTTTATACGAAACATAATAGTCAGTTTTGTGCATCTTTGGAATAAAAATGTTACTCTTTTATAAAGGTTTTAGTTATGTTGGTAACTAACTATCGCCCGCGACTACGTCTGCGCGGAATTGAAGAATCAATTTTTAATGTGTTCTTCCAGACTATGTTCTACATCCAAGTCAAATTTCAGTAAGATCCTTGCAGCCGTTCTTGAGATACCTTCAAGCAAACATCCATCCAAACATTCGCAATTATATTATTGGAAAGATTTATTCATCTAATTAAAAGTTATCAATATTTTCATTTGCAATGGAGGCGGGTAGTACAGGATCTTTGTGGGAGGCCTATTACCAGCGGTAGGCGATATAGGGCTGAAGAGAGAGAGAGAGAGAAAGAGAGAATGATAGAAAAATTCGTTTCAAAGTAACAACATGTTCATAAGTTTTGACAAACTCAGATGAACACAATATACAAGGTAATTGAAAATTGCAGACAAAATTCGTCTTATCAAGTTTTATTGTTAAAAGCAACTACTACGTTTTGAACGATACAATTTTAAGGTTTATTGCTTTGAAGATGTTTTCTACGTATTTGTTGTGCTCAGAGAAACTCAAATTTGTCACAATAATAAATAGTAACGTAATAAAATGCTCTGCTTGCGAATCACATCTTATATTTTACTAAATAATCCTTTCACAAATGTTTACACGTTCGGAAGTATGCAGTATTGTGTTTGTATAACATTTTATTATACATTTAGTATTTGCTATTTGTCTACAATGAAACGTATACGATTTGTTCTTACCTACGTAACGTAATTCAAAATGGGAAAATATTCAAAAAACAAAAAAATGCTTTTGATAGACATTTTTTGTTCGCATTGTATAAATCGGTACAGTGGAATTATTGCCTTGTACTCATGTGAAAGTAAAAATAATTATATTGTTTTGATGGTGGATTAATATCTTAATATAAATTAAAATATTCCAATAAAACTACACAAATAAAAAAAACATTAAATTCATTTCTGTTCTTTTACATTTTTTTACACTGAATCAATTCAATTGTTTTATTATTTTTTTGTACTGCGCCGTCGTGTTACCAGCCAGTTCGACCACCTTGGTAGCGCACAACCTCTCCTGAGCTACCAAGGAGGTTTGATATCTATCAATACGAGTTTTACACTTAACGATATAGAGAGAAGTGGAGAATAAAAAATTAAAAACAATTTGGTGCCTCTGTTTTTTACTACTGTGTTGTAACTATTTAATAGTTTCCCTTTAAATTACGTTGGTAGTTTAAAAGTTTTAATCGTAGATTTTC